CGTATTACTATGGATTTTGTTACTGGCTTGCCTATGACTCATTCGAAAAAAGATTCAGTTTGGGTGATTGTTGACAGACTTACAAAGTCAGCTCACTTCATTCCTGTGCGAGTAAATTATACTTTGGATAAGCTGGCAAGATTGTATATTTCAGAGATTGTCAGATTGCATGGTGTTCCATTGTCTATTATTTCTGATCGAGATCTGAGATTTACTTTGAGATTTTGGAAGGCGTTACATACGGCTTTGGGAACAAGATTGGATTATAGTACATCATTTCATCCACAAACTGATGGTCAATCTGAGAGAGTAATTCAGATTCTGGAGGATATGTTGCGGGGTTGCATAATCAATTTTCATGGTAGTTGGGAGAACTTTTTGCCGTTGGCTGAATTTGATTACAATAACAGTTATCAGACCAGCATTCGTATGGCACCCTATGAAGCACTCTATGGGCGTAAATGTCGCACTTCGATCTGTTGGACTGAGTTACATGATAGGAAAACGTTGGGACCTGAGTTAGTGCGAGAGACGGAGGACACAGTCAGATTAATCCGTGACCGTCTGAAAGAGGCATTTGATAGGCAAAAATCTTATGCATATCAAAGGAGGAAGGATATACAGTTTGAGGTTGGAGATCATGTCTTTTTGAAAGTTTCACACTGGAAGAAAATATTGAGATTTGGGCGTAAGGGTAAATTGAGTCCAAGATTTATTGGACCATTTCGTATCTTGAAGAGGGTAGGACCTGTTGCAAATCAGCTTGAGTTGCCTTCTGAGCTAAGTCGTATTCATGATGTCTTTCATGTATCAATGTTGAGGAGATAACGTTCAGATCCAGGTCACATTATTCAGGTTGAAGAAGTAGAGCTGAGACCTGATTTGTCATATGAAGAGGAGCCCATTCAGATCTTAGAGAGAGATGAACGAGTTCTTCGGAATAGGCGAATTCCAATGGTCAAAGTTCAATGGAGTAATCGAGGCCCCTCAGAAGCTACTTGGGAGACATTGGAGTCAATGGAGGCTCAGTTTCCTCAACTATTCTCATAAGGTAAATTTCGAGGACGAAATTTCTTGTAGAGGGGGAGAATTGTAACAACCCGAATATTTACAAAAAAAAAAGTATTAATTGAAATTGGAGGTAAATTGTGAAAATGGGTGAAATTAAGTGACTAAATTAAAATTTATGAAAACTTGTATGCCATTTTTGAAGTAAAGGAAATTCAGGGACCAAGCCCTAAATTTCCCCTAAAACTGTCGGCAGAATTGGTGTTATAAGCGTGTTTTCTAGTTTTAAACCAGAAAACACAAATGATAATTTCTTAATTTTTCCTCCTCCCGTACCCTTACTTCCAAGCCCGATTCCGACGCCGTTCGACCTCCAATCGAAAAATTGAAACTACCGTCGTGTTCATCTTCGACCCGTGAACAAAACCCAGTAAATCAATTATAGCGAAATGCTGCCAAACGACGTGAATTTCGAGTCAAAGTCTCGACGTTTATTTAGCTCTATCACCGAGAAAATCTTAAATTCACTGCCGATCGTTGCTCCTTTTACGACACATCCTGCACCATCGTGTTCCTTGTGTCGTTGCGAGTCCGCCGGTGTCAACCTTGTTCGCCGTCGACGGCGGCGCGTGAGTAGGTGGAGCAGTCAAAGATTCGACCGAGTTGAAATTCGAGCTCTCCGCCGTTCAAAAATTTGAACCGATCGTTGTAAGTATCTCGAAATCGCTCAAAATAATTTTTAGAAATTTTTCTGGAATTTTTAGGCCCCCGGAGGACACCTCACGCGCCACACGCGCCGCCGCAAGGAGAGTGAGCTGCTGGAAAACCGGTTTGACCGGTTTTTAACCGGTTTGACCGGTTCGAACCGGTCTGACCCGACCCGACCCGACCGTTGACCGTTGACTTCCTTTGACCAAAACTTAAAATGGCTTTGACCGAGCATTAAACGACCGTTAATCTTTTCCGAGTATACCTACCCTGATAGTTTTCAACGTGCCGAATCCGTTTCCGCTGTCCGTTTCGTCAAATTCGAACCCGAAGGCTTCCAAATCGACGGTCAAAGTGGTTGACTTTGACTTTGACCAAGAATTTGAATTTTCGAAAAGTCATACTTTATATTTTTCAACTTTCTGATTCCGATTCCGCAATCTGTTTGGCCAAATTCAGACTCAAAATACCCCAAATTGATAGTCAAACTCGAAAAATGCTTATATACCTAAGAAGTCTAGCTTTGAACAATTAAATAGGATTTGGGACTGATAGATTATTATTGTTTGAAGGTACAAGAGACTCTCTAGATCGTTTGACAGCTCGACCCAGCTCTTCTAGATCAGTTAAACCACGTGTGCCAGTATTCACCCGTAAGACCCGTAAATTTTATGATTTTAGAGATTTATTTATGTTACCCATTAGTAATATAGTGTTATTATAAATTAGGTTCGAAAACTGTAGCAGAGCGTGGTGAAACCAGCAATCAGTAGATCTACTATTGAACCTATTATCGAGGTGTGTTCCTGTTTACTATATAATGGTTTTATATGTTTTGAAATATGGTACATTGAAATCTATGGGTTATTATTATTGGTACACCGATTTATTGTTGATGATTTATGGACTTTGATAACTGGTATATGGATATTGATTTTGGGATGGATTGAACTACAATTGTATAGCTCTGATCAAGCTAATAAACGGGCCTAATGTGACTCTTGAGGGCCCCAAGATGTTTCATTAGGTCGGCTTTCCTTTGTTGTGTGCTTAGGGGAAGCTATATGGACTTATTGACTTGGGCTTAAGGATACAAGCATCATAGCCTACCCTTAAGTCGGCTTTCTTTTTGCTATGTGCATAAAGTAAGCTATATGGAAAATAATTTTGGGAACTACTGATGGTGTACCAGAAAAGGGTTTAAACTATGATTTTCAAAAGTTAAACTCTTTTACGAATTTGTGAGATTTACTGGACTATGATTTGTTTAATGTAACTATTGTGATTTTATGGTAATGTTGGGACACACTGAGCCTAGCTCACCTTTCGAAAATGTTTTTCCCCTTTCAGATACTGTTGTTAGATACCTCGGTTCGAGCACTTGGAGGATCAACATATCTCTTGAAGTATATCTGATTGTAATATTTTAAACTTGCAAGTTGACTTTATTCTGGTGACATGGATCTATTTTAAAGTATTGGATTTTATAATGATGAAACTTTTGCTATTACTATTCAGTTTATCGTGGTTTTGATTTTTAAGATATGTTTTAAATTAATTTATTACTGATTGGTTTTATATTTAAGAGTTGAGTTTTAATAATTATAATTTATTATAATTTCATGTCATGAATAATGTGGTTTTACATTGATTGGATAACGGTTTCAGAAAATGTCTTTAAGAATCATGTATGTGATCCACTAGACTTAGTCGAAACACATAGGCCGGGTCTAGGGGGTTACATATTCAAACATGATTCGAATACGAATGTATCCACCACTTACAATGGAGTCCAAGTAACATAGATAAACAAAATGGAATTGAAGTGGAAAAGAAGAGTAAAATTGTTAGAGCTACCTTTTGATGTTGGATGTAAAATTAGTTAATCATCCTTAATAAAACCCCATATTGTATATGTTGGAAAGACTGTGAGGAACCATGCTCCAAGTTGAGAATGGTTGCAGTTGCTGCAATCTGGGAGATATTTCAGAACATCATACATGAAATGAAAAAATGGTAGTTAAAATTATAAAAGTAGGAAAATTACACTCATGCTGGATGAGTTAGAAGCAGAAGCACCTGCCATTCTTTCGGTTGTTGTTTGGGGAGGAATCGTTGATTCATTTAACATTAAATTTACATATTCTTTTTACAAAGAAGAGGAAAGAAAAGTACCATTTAGTCTCTCTTATTTGTATAAAGAAAAACTTTAGTTCTTCTTGAAGGTTCATCACCAACAAGAATGTTTACCAATACTGCTTAGAAATCCTAGTTCCGACACCAAAATTTTTTTTCGAAGAACCTTACGAAGTTTCAAGTCTTTTTTAACATTGGGTGTGAAGTTGAACCTTACCAAAAGCTACCCAAAGCTTCTCTTCATTGCAACAAATCTCTGTTCTTATCAAGACCTTGAAAAGTTCTACATCGAGTTCACTCAAACGTAGGACTCCAACAATGGCAAGGAAAAGAAGAGGTACATGAAGATAGTGTCATCAACTCGATTTACAATTCAAAGAAGAGAGGACATTGATGAGTTCAAAACGAGGAGGAATAACGGAGAAGCAGAGGATTTTTCATTGGTGCAAAAGCTGAAGGAGATAGAGATGATGGATGTGAGCAATGTGGATCATGTTCTCAACGTTGAAGAGGTTCTTCATTACTATTCTTGCCTCGCGTGCCCGACTTATGTCGTGGACAAGTTTTTCATAGAGATTTACAGTGAGTTTTTGAGGTTAAGGGAGAAAAACAATAATAAAAGGTTCTATGTCATCACAGGCTTAGAGAGAAAACGGTTGAGTGACTAAAAAAATTGATATATAAAATTCAGAATCCAGTGATTAAATTGAAAAAAAATAAAAGTATAATGACTGAAATAAGAGAAAGTAAAATTAAATTGTTAAATTTATAATTTACTATAAAATTATTTTTTTAGTATTGAAATTAAATTAAAATAAAATGGAAAATTTATAATCAGTTGACTAAATAATTTGATAAGACTCATAACGACTCGAGAAATGAAAATGAGAAAGTCGAATTCGAAGTTTTTAAAAACTCAAATGGATTGGATACGAAGCCAATGGATCATCCGAAATCAAGTGTAAGAGTAGGAATAGAGGCTGAGAGGGGAAAGATGGAGGAATAAAGCGTTGACAGAATACCTGGAAAATGGAAATCCAATGGATCGGTTGATCGGTTTTGACTAATTCTCCATGGGAAATGAAATCCCTTAAAATACCAATGGCCTAACCAACCAACCCTCTCTCTGTGGGCTGATCCCTACTCTCTTTATCTCCATTTCTTCCTTCTACTTGTCTTCACAGTTTTTGTGGAATCAACAATCTTCCGCAATGCCTTCACTTCCAACAGCCGCTCTCTCTTCTTCATCTTCTCCATCTCTCTTCCCAATATCTTCTTACACTTCTCCCACGAAAACCCAATTCCGCTTCTGCCTTTCCTTTGCCCTCCCCAGGTTTACCAATCGCAGACCCATGAAGTGTTCCGCCACTTCCATCGGGAAAGAAACTGTCATCTCCGAGCGCCCCCACTCTTTCCTCCGTGAGACAGATGGCCTAGATGATGACTCCGTCAGGTCGCGCTTCCAGCGCATGATTATGGAGGTGCAGGACAGCGTGTGCGGCGCCCTCGAGGCTCTCGACGGAGCTGGAAACTTCAAGGAGGACGCCTGGACGAGGCCCGGAGGCGGTGGAGGGATTAGTCGAGTGTTGCAAGATGGTCACGTTTTCGAAAAGGCTGGTGTTAATGTCTCAGTTGTTTATGGAGTTATGCCCCCTGAAGCTTATCGAGCTGCCAAGGCTGCTGTCACTGATCAGAAGCGCGGTCCCGTTCCCTTTTTCGCCGCCGGAATCAGCTCGGTAATTAATAACATTTCAAATTTATTTTCTTTTCTCTTTCTTTTAATTATTATTATTATTATTATTCAAAATTTTGGTTGGATTCCATTGAAAAGAGAGTTACTGATGATTTTGGCATTTGGGTTTTCTTCCTTTTTCAGGTTTTGCATCCGAAGAATCCGTTTGCTCCTACGTTGCATTTTAACTATAGATATTTTGAAACTGATGCACCCAACGGTACATATTTTATCCATAATTGTTGTTGTTGTTAATTTATTGGTTTGTCATGCTAAACTGGTAGTTCTAAATTTTGGGATACAATATCGGTATATGACAAATGAACATAGAAACTGCTACATGGCACGAATACATGGAAATGCCTATAAAACAAAAGCTATTTGCTTTCCAAAATATGATTACATATCGAATGCATTAAATATGGGTTTTTTTTGTGCTTCAAAGATAAGTAAAGTGGTCTAACTTTAGTTGGTGTCTTGTCTTGAAAATGTGCAGATGCTCCTGGAGCACCAAGGCAATGGTGGTTTGGTGGTGGAACTGATTTGACTCCATCTTACATCTTTGAGGAGGATGTCAAGCACTTCCATTCAGTGAGTCGGATTTCAATTCTTTCTTTCTTATGTCTCCTTTTTTTTCCAAATAAACGTTAAAAGTTATATAGGTTTCTTGCTCTTGTGTCAAAGGTTTTCTCTATTTCACCAAAAAGTGAAGCTTGAGACATCTGCATTTGCTCTATTAAGATATGAAGGAGCTCAAGCAATTCAATTAGTTCTAATTCTGGTAGTTTCACTCTGAGAAAGTAAAGTATTGATCTTATCAAAAGAAATTCATGTGTTTTAATATCTCAAGATCTTACTAAATTTTATATATAGATGCTGAAAAACAAGTGGATATAATCAATTTAACAGCAGCAACCTCTGTTCCTTCTACATATTAGTATTGTATAGACTATATAGATTGATGGGTGGAGACGAATGTTTCTAACTGTCAATGCATTACACATGTCAGCCTTGGAGATAACCATAACGTTCTATAAATAACAGTGTACAAATGCGTAAATATTAGTTCCATTCCATCCCGTAGAACTATTATTTGAAAAGCAAAATATTTTGCCAAATGTTCTTTTGCTAACATTGGCCTTCATTTGTAGATACAAAAACAGGCCTGCGACAAATTTGATCCGTCCTTTTATCCTCAATTCAAGAAATGGTGTGATGACTACTTTTACATTAAGGTATGATCTTTGCTAAATTATTTTGGCATTATATGAGCTTGTCATCTATTTGCTGAGTTTTAGAACTGTGTATGGCATTTGTATCAAGAAAATGGGCTTTCCAATATGATATTTTCTCTCTCTATGATGATTTTACTATGTACAATGAATGAAATTTCTGTATATATTATATACACACACATTCTATAACTTAGAGGTTTACTTCTCTAGGGTGGGAGAGAACTTCTTTTGTGCCTTATTCGCTCCTTCTGAATAAGACAACAATTATGATAAAGAATTCTTGTTTATGGCACTCAGGGTACTCATCTGCCTAAATAACAATCCAGCTTATATAGGCTCACCTTTGGCCTGCTTTTACTAACTTACAATTGCACGCTTAAATATATGCTCCACAGAGTAAGTTCAAAATATTTACTAAACATTTTGCCTTATGTTTTTTCTGGTTTGGTTGATGTTAATTTTATGTTTACAGATTGAATTATTTTTCTGTCCCACTACAAATAATGTTTTCCTTTCATAGACAACTGACAATGAATATTGTTTGCCGTGATTTGAGGGTTTTGATTTCTTAATTTTTTTATATTTCTAATTTCAGTGATAATAACAGACCATTGAGCTTTTAAGACTGATTTTGTTTATCTTTCATACCATTAATGAATGTAAAAGGACATGGAATTAGATATATTATATTTTATTTTGACGGAGAAAAAGATTCCATTAAACTTTATGATTATATCATTCTTGAAATTCAATGTAAAAGGATATGGAGTGGATATATCTCTTGCTAAATTGCATATCCTTCAAAGAAAAGTCGCCTACAATAAGATAGATGGTATTATTATTGGTGGAAGCTTGGTAGGTTTTTAGTAAGGTCAGTAGCCTGTGGCCTGATTTAAAATGTTCTCAAAGGCTTTTTATATAGTCATTTTCTCTGAAAATATATGGTCTGGGTCTTTGTACTATAGTGTGGATTACATTTTGGTTCTTATACTTTTGAAATAAGAAAAGAGGTCCTTTGATTGTTAGAATGAGCAAAATGGTTATTTTGTAACAGTTGAACAAGAAAAAACTATTAATTTTACAAGGTATACTTAATTCATTTAATTAAGTAAATCTTATAAGATTAATATTTTTCAACTATTGCAAAAATAATCATTTTGTATGTGTGTGTTTTCTTTAACGAACAGGGACCCATTTGCTCAATTTAAAGGTATAGAAACCATAATGCGATCCTTTGCAAGATTTTTACGCCTTTTCTCATTGACTCCTCTCATTCGTCTACACTTTTTCTCCATTTAATTATGAGTTAAGTTGTTAAAGATTTTGTCTGCTTTTGCTCTGTGCAGCATCGAGATGAGAGGCGAGGGCTCGGGGGAATATTTTTTGATGATCTAAATGACTATGATCAAGAGATGCTTCTTTCATTTGCCACAGGTAATTGTCTGGGTGTTTGCTCTTATAAATAGTGATTCCATTTGTGTTAAGTGTTTCTAATGAAACAATATGCAGAATGTGCGAATTCCGTGGTTGCTGCGTATGTACCCATTGTAGAGAAAAGGAAGGATACAGCATTCAATGAAAGGCACAAGGCATGGCAACAATTGCGAAGGGGGCGCTATGTAGAATTCAACTTGGTATGGAATCTCACCTAAAACTAAACTAGATCTTAGATGAATCTGAGCTTATGTTCAATTTGTTAATTGAAAGGTGTATGATCGAGGTACAACATTTGGACTGAAGACTGGAGGTCGAATTGAGAGTATTCTCGTTTCTCTCCCTTTAACGGCACGATGGGAATATGATCATGTAAGCTTTCCTCCCTTTGAGGAATAAAATTATGTAACCCATTAACTGAAACTGACAAAATATGTTTGATTTGCTTGACATACAGAAACCAGAAGAGGGAAGTGAAGAGTGGAAATTATTAGATGCCTGCATGAACCCCAAGGAATGGGTTTGATGCTAATAGGTTGAGTTTGTTTTCCACTTTGAAATTTCCCCCCTTTTTCTGTTGCTATAGCCTATTGCGTGTGTGTGTGTTCTTCCGAGGGAAGTGCAGGTGTTGTGAGTTGTAATACACAATTTGCTTCGAGGCCAAGTGATGCTTAATAATATTGTTAATCCTGTTATTGTTCCACACTACTAATAAACTAGCACATGCTCATTAAACTACTATCACTTGAAGTCCCCCAAAGTGCTCCATCAGGCTACAACACACACCCGAGTTCAAGTGGTCATACGCATTATTGGTGAGGATTTCCAGGTGCGTAACACGAAAATAAATAAACCAACGCTTAAGATTTTAGTTGATATAATTTCAAGTGCATTATGATAAGAAAGGTTGATTCAGTAAGAAGAAGAAACCATATAATTTGAAGTGCAGTCCATATAATCTAAAGGATAAGTAGAAAAATATTGAAAATAGAATGGTATTTCATACTCCAAGTGCGTGTAACCATTAAATCATTGAAAGAAACACAGATCATTGAAAGAAGCACAAAAAAGAAGAAATCATAGGCAAACGCACACTTAAGATTTTTAGTATCTATTTATAGGAATTATTATTATTATTTTGAATAGTCTGAGTGATTATAAGGTAATATTTATTCGAAAATTTTTTAATCTCTTAATTAATTGACAACCCACCCTACAAACGCAACTGTTTGGACTAAGACTGAGAGAGAGAATAAAATTATTTTATTATAAAAAATTTGTTTAGTACAATTACTCAAAGTAATTTTTTACGATTAATAAAAATTAAAAAATATATTTTTTTCAATGAAACTGAATATTTTATTTTTCAAACATCTCTAATTCTATATATTCATTAATTTATCTTACATTATTTAGATCAAACCCTAAGGGGGCGTTTGATTCACGGAATGTAAGATTACCGGTGGGAATAGGATTACCGGCGGGAATAAGATTACTGGGAATGCAGCATTGTCGTGTTTGGTTCGTTTAGCATAAATGTAAGATTACAGTGCTTGGTTAAAGGAATAAAAAATTATTAAAATGTATATTTTACCAAATTGTCCTTATTATATATTTGTTTTTTAACAAGTTGAATTCTACTATAATTTTACTATAATTAATTTATATATTTTATTTAAAATTTTTAAATTCATAAAATTTATATTTTTTTTTTTACAAAATTGAAAAGATCAATAGGTTTCATGAAAGGGTAAAATTTTATTTTAAACCCTAAACTTCATATAAAATTCTAATTATAGACTTTTTTGTAAATTTAAAATAGTTTAAGGATAAATTTATAATTTAACTTTCATATAATTTTTTTATTCAACGATAGAATAAGAATATTTTTGAAATTTTTTAAGGACATTTTAGTCCAAAATGTCGGGAATGTTATAATACTTAAGAGAAGTGTGGTGGAATCATATTCCCGGTAATAAGACCCCAAAATACCACAGTTGGTAATAACTTATTATCGGGGGTTGAGAATGTTTGTAATTCAAAAGGAGGAATGGCATTCCATTCCCCCGGTAATCTAAGATTACCTGAACCAAACGACCCCTAAGGGTGAAGTTTGTGTAATGAAGAACTCTTATTATGCTGAACTTCCAAATCAGTTTTTGGAGATAAGTGATTAGTGTCAGCAAGAAGAACATCGACCGGAGAGTTTACGAGCGGCCAGCAGCCCAAGTAGAAATAGATGAAGGGGTCAAATCAATACCTTTCTTAGCACGCAATTGCAAGGGGCAAAAGACAGATTATCCATGGCTATTCTCAAACTACGTTTCATAGGGTATGCATACATCCATGGGCCATACGGTTGAACTGAAGCAAAATTTTATATAATGAACATTTAACGGATAAATTTATAAAATTTCAAAAGATATTAATAAATTATTAATAAAAATAAATATATATATATATATATATATATGATAATTTAAAATTGTAAGAATTTAGCTCCACATGTAAACTTAAAAACTTACCCAACCGACATTATATAGTAATTTTTGTATATATTCGACGTGGTTCAACTAATATATATATATATATATGAGTTCATCAATCGATTTTAGTAATATGAGAGATTGTTGTTCTCTTAAAAGATTCAAAGTACAAACAACAACTGCATCTTCAAGGTGCGTGCATTATCAATTGTTAAAAAAAATTATGAATAAATAACATCTTATGATAACTCCAGATTAATTAAAAAAATTAATTTAATTTAATAAATGATAAAATATTTGTAATTTAAATTTGTAAGCTTTGTATTTGATTTGAGGTGAAGAATTTTAATTTTATTTATCATAAGATTTTAATTATTTTATTTGGAGATCATATTAATTATAATTTTTATATTTTAAAATAAAAAATTTCAATCATTTTTTATTAAAATGGGGTTAAATTGACTCGATAAATTTAATGTATAAACATAGATATGTATGATATGCATTAGATGATTAGAAATTAAAGTTTTATTATTGGTTCGATGAAATTATTGTGACCCACTTAATTGATATTGTTTGCACATTGCAAGTGATGTGAAGACTCGTGAATGCTGTGGAGCGCAAATGGTACCCTTGCCCTTCACCATTTTCCATTACTCCGAAATAATAATATTAATAACAACAGTTATAATAATGATAAAATCAACTATTTTTTTAATATAATAAAATCAATTATTACTTTAATAAGAGGTTCAAATATAATAAAAGTTGCTCAAACATGAAAAATTATAATTATTTTTTAATAATTTAATAATTACAAGATAATATTTATTTAAAATATACTCGTAAACGTAATTATTTAAACTTAAGAACTCTTAAAAGAATAACAATTCTTTCAAAAGAGTCCTAAAGTAGTAACAATAGTTGTTTTTAATCGTATAGTAAATTGTTTTGGATCTATATCGAACGGACTATCTTATTATTTAGGGTAAACTACTTGAATGACCACTCAATTATAGAGTTTGTATCAGAATAATCACTATTTTTAAAATTTGCATCAATATGACCACTAAATTATTTAAGTGATATTATTTAAGTCACCTGCCGTTAAAATCTAACGAACGACTGACGTGGCAATTAACAAAAATTTGTATAATTATACATTTGATCCTTAATGTTTGTATATTCTATTAATTTAGTCGTTATTTAAATTTAATTTTATAAATTAAGCTTTCAATCAGGAGGTGACATGTGTCGATACATGGTCATGACACATATCATTAATGTTATGTGTCACCACCTAATTGGAGGAAGTTTTTTTTATTAAATTTTTTTTAATTAAATTTATTTTCTATCCAATTATACAGCGGCATGTGTCACCTTTGATTGGAAATAAAATAAATAGATCATTACATGAATATGGGGGTTTTAAACTTGGGTTCTCTAGGATGAAAATGGGGTGCTCAAACTGTTAAGCCAACTACTCCATTTGTTTTGGTAATTACACCAATATTTATTTATCTCATAATATTATTAGTATATAAAAATAAAGAAATAGAAATATTCAAATGATATTTAACTTTCAATATTTTTATAATTTTAAAAATCAAATTCAATATTTTTATATTTTTAAACAAAATTTATGAAATAAATCATGTAATAAAAACATTGAAAGTTAAATATCATTTTTTCACACTATTTTCTCTCTCCTCTTTAATAATCTATGTATTATTATTTTTTCAATAAATTATACTTGCCAATAAGAAGAAAACATGTATCATCATCTTATTGGTCAATTAAAATGAAGATAAAATATTGCTACTAACCACTTAACAAAGTTAGATATTTTTTAATTTCAATCCGAGTAAATATTTATGTTAAAATATAGGATAAATGATACATTTAGTATCTAAACTGTCAGTTTTGTTTCATTTTAGTATTTAAACTTTCAAAATTTTTAAAATCATTCATAAAATTTAGTTTTTTGTTTTATCTTAGTACCTCGTTCAACTATTTAACGCTAAGTTTTAAAAAAAAAACTGAAATTTTATGAGCAAAAACGGATCAAAAATGATACTTTAGGTATTAAACGCGTTAAGTTTTTAACGGTGAGATACTAAAACGGAACAAAAACTAAACATTAGATATAGTTTTAAAAAATACAAAATTTATGTACTAAAATAGAAAAAAATAATTTAGGTACTAAATACGTTTACGATCTAAAAATATAAAAAATCTACAATAATGGATTCAACCAAAGATTAAGAGGCTCAATGTTTAACCATTAAATCAAATTATGCAATTATTATATGAGAAAATAATCTCAGTGACTAAAAATGCATTATAATATATGATTTTAACCAACTTTTTTGGATTTGCCAAAATGACCAAATAAATCGCAATGCGATCGATAATTCGCAACGCGATCTCCGGTATCGCAAATCAGTTTCCAGATTCGCAACGCGAACTTTGACTATCGCAATGCGATTTTCCAAATTCGTTGCGATAGTCCAAGTTCGTGTTGTGATTTATTCCAAATTCATTGCGATAGTCCAAGTTCGCGTTGCGATTTATTCCAAGTTCGTTGCGATAGTCGAAGTTCGCGTTGCGATTTATTCCAAGTTCGTTGCGATAGTCGAAGTTCTCGTTGCGATTTATTCCAAATTCGTTGCGACAGTCGAAGTTCGCGTTGCGATTTATTCCAAGTTCGTTGCGATTTATTCCAAGTTCGCGTTGTGATAGTCCAAAATCGCAACGACTGGTGGTATTGCATTTGTTTCTTAAGAATTTTCTCTAAAAAGGGACGTGTCGAAGACACGTATTACCACGACCACAACCACGGCCACGACCACGGCCCCGAGACGAGACGGACGGCGGCGGCGGCGCGCGAGAGTCCCCCTTGTTCTCTATCACTCAACAAGGAAGTAGGAAAGTCAAGCCTTAAATATCATTCCCAATAGTGTTTCCAATACTATGTGGGATTGAGCATTACCAACACTTGTTCCCAATACTATGTGGGATTGAGCCTTAAATAGTGATGTTATTTGTGAATTATAGTTAATGACTTTAGTATTTGTATGAAAAGTATTTGTGGTTTGTTTAGTTTTCATGCAATTCTAATTTATTTTCAATTGATTGTAATTGCACGATAACAATTTTTTTTATTCTCGCGAGTGATGCAATTTTTTTTGAATGTTTTGCTTAAAATTGCAATAAT